CGAGCGCCAAGCTGGGCCCGCGCGCTCCCAAGCTGTGCGCGCGCCCGCCGCTCGCCTTTTGCAAGGCGCTGTCTGAGCCCTGCCCAGCCGCGCGCCGGGGCTCCTTTGTTTGAGCCGGCGGGGGAGGGGCGAGGCGTGCCCGGGGTCCCCCCCGCCCGAACGTGTTGGGGGACGGGCGGAGGACCCTAGTTCTGAGGGTGGTCGGATACTGGGAGCTGGGGGACCTAGACCCGTATTTTGGGCCCCGCCCCCCTTTTCTAGTGAGCCCCAACCTCCGGCCGGCCGGAGCTGGGGCGGACCGCTGAGAACCCGGGAGGGGTCTTCACCCTAGTGAAAGAACGTGAGTTCCTCTCTCTAGTTTTCGGGTCCCCTCGGCTCCTGATTTCGTTTGATATCGCTGCTTCCATCTTGATTTTATTTCTGCCCAATCCTGGCCCTGCCCTTCCAGCTGATTCACCTGTGGGCCAGTCATTTGACCTTGCTAACCTCAGTTATGTCATCTACAAAATGGGCTAATAATACCTAGTACCCTGGGAAGCAAGCGGACAGACTGAGGTCAGGCTTGTGAAAAGAAGTGCAGCTGTACAGATTTAGATGCGTATTTCTTCCTCTCTGCTGCGCTGGCTGCCTTTGAACCTCGGGATTTTTTGCTGTTTGTATCCTGCCTCCCGTTTCTCTCTGCCTCTCTGCCTTCCCCATCTGTTTTTCGATTTTCTACTTCAGACAATCTGTGGCTCTGTTCATCTATTCACTAATGTTTGATAAGCACACACTGTCAAGACTAGTGCTGGTCTGCTGGGCATTGCCAATGTGAAGCCGAGACACTGCCCCCTGGGAGGCTGCAGACCCCCAGGAGGGCAGGCCAAGATAGTCGTTCCGATACCAGGACTGGGTGATAAGCGTTATTGTCCTGGACTCTGGCTGCGTCTATCTCAGCTCCAGACCAGCGCCTCAGCCCCTAGCTCTTGAGTTTCTAGTTCATTCACCAAATCCACAAGTATTTATTGGGCACTGGCTTTGTAGGGGAGCCTTTCCACACCCAGTGTAATGAAACACAAAGACGCTAGCTTCCCTCGGCTTGCCTTCTAGTGGTCTGAGCTAAGCCGGGAATCCTTCTAATCAAGACAGCAGGTGTCCCTGGCTACTCAGTGAAGAACGTCTGGAGGCCTTTTCTAGACCATACTTTACTGTGCACTTGGTGTTGGAGGCAGGACTCATTCAGTATTCGGTGCTGTGGGGGTGGCCTGTCCCAGACCTTCTGTCTGTAGACTCCCCCAGGCTGCCTCTGAGAGGTGAAGAAGAGGAAGTCGGTTGTGTGTGTATGGGGTTCTTTCATACCTAGCGTCTGGTCAAAAAGAAGTTGGACTGTGTGTGGTGGCACATGCCGGTAATCCCAGTTTTCTGAAGGGTGAAGTGGAGGGGGGATGGGGATGGGGGTGTCGCAGCCTCGGGAGCTCTGGCTCCAGAGCAGCCATCACCACCTCTGGCCTCCGCCAGCACCTGTACTCACGCACACAAACCCATATAACATATACATAGCATAACTAAAGCAATAGTATAAATTAAAAAAGGCTGAGATGGGGCAGGAGGAGCATTGAGTTCAGGGCCAGTGTGGCTACACAAGATCCTCCCTAAAGAGAAAAAGAGAGCCCGCTTATTCATTCTCTTTTTAGCATGCCTGTTTCTCCCTAACCCTTCTGTGGCCGTGTATCACTCCCCTGCCTCGGCCTCAGCGCCTGCCAGCACTCATCCTCTTAGTGTTTATCAAGCACAGATGGTGGGCCAGGCCGTGTGGGGCAGTGGGCTACAGGGAAGGGGCCTGAAAGATGGAGATGGGTGACGGGGTAGGAGATGGATGACGGGGTAGGATGGATGATGGGGTAGAAGATGGATGACGGGGTAGGAGATGGGTGATGGGGTAGGATGATGGGGTAGGATGACGGGGTAGGAGATGGGTGACGGGGTAGGAGATGGATGACGGGGTAGGATGGATGATGGGGTAGG